GTCCGCCTACCTCCATCGCCGTTAACGGTGCACTCGACGGCGAACGTTATTCCACCCGGCAAGACCGCGAAACGTATTTAACGCGTGCGGGTCTCGGCCGTCGAGAAGACAATTATAATATTAAATATGTGCATACGACGCGCTACCTGGTATTGTACTACTACTGTGTGTATACGAGTACCTACCCTATCTCACCTCCACCGCCGCTGATGGGAATTATTAACACAGCCACCGCTGTGTACAATATATTATATATTTAGGTACCTACGTTGCAGAGAGGACCGACTCTCGGGTAACCGGGCTCTTATACATACAGCAGCCGCTTCCGCCGCCACTTGATCTCCCTTGCCGCGGCCCCGTAATTATACACTGCAATAACATTATTGCAAAACCATATAATATACAAATAATGTAGTTACACGTATTATATTCACTATTATATCGTATACGAGGCGTTTAAAATGTTTTGATATGCTGATATATCGGTATGATCCTATTATTAATCGTACACCGCGCGTATATCTATACTTCAAAACTATATCTGAACACTGAATATTATTGCGTAAGCCAGGCGTGTCAAGAGGCTCTCAAATATTTTTTGGTGGAAAATTGGAAAATTAAGTGAAGGCAAATTTTAAAGCACGATTTCCATTTTCTATGGCAATTATTAAGTATACGTTAGACAGAGGTATATTAATTTCTATACCATAAATTGGGGTGATCTCGATACATTTTGTTGATTTTGTTTGTTATTTTACGCATAGCTCTTTTAATACTTAGGTAGGCTACAGATCTCAAAATGCCTATAATTCCTGCCTTTAATTACCTACGTAAATTATTATGCTGTTCCGCACTCAGACTATTGACCGTGTGTGTGTGTGTTTTTCCTATATCACTCTACTTATAGACACGGTAACTTTTTTACCGTTATTACTTATTATCATAGTCCCGATTTAATGACTAAACAACTGTTTTTTGTATAAATATTTATCGTGCGACAGTATATGGACTTAAAATGATAATACATTACCTATATTTCTGCATACTTGAAGGGTCAGTGAACTGTGCCGTGATATACCTACTTAGTCAAGTTAATTTGAAAACACCAAGCTTCTGGCCTCGATTATATTTTAAACAATCTTTATACATAATTTTATCACTAAGTACTCCCTTAAGTCTCGACCGATCGATTTATAGAATGATGCATTTTGATGAGGAGCTGTCCTTGGCGTCCTTTATATTTAATAAATATGGTATACACTATTAATTTGTTTGGAAAATTGTGTATCTGTTTAATATTTGCAGAGTTTAGTGTATAAGTCATCTGTTATGTGTACTTTGGACCGCGGCCCTATCTGTTTTAATTAGCTAAATAATTATAAATACTTTACCAATGGCGTTAAGGTTAGTGGATGTCAGTGCACTGTTAATTGTTATCTCTCTCTAATCCACATACAAGAAAGAAATTTTACATTCAGCCGAATCAATCTTGTGTTGTCACTTGTCAGCTTTAATATTAGAGTGAATTGACCTATTATCAAACTTTAAGTATAGCTAACATTTTCTGCCATATGTCATTTTTAAATTGTGATATTTTAAATACCTACCCATAATTAATTTGCATAACAATTAAAATATAATGAAAAAGCCTTATACATAGTTAATATTTCTAGCATTTAGGTTTGATAATAGGTCAATTTACTATAATAATATTAAACCTAACAACGCAAGATTGGTTCAGCTGAACTCAAATTTGCTGTTGCAAGGCTCAGAGGAATAAACAATTAGTGAGCTTACATCCTCAAGCAAGTATTGATTACTAAGACATTATTCAAGCCTCACATCGACTCGATTATACATTTTGCAGAATTATTCCTGATTTTGTTTATTTTATTAAAAACAAAATAATGATCACACGGCGTTCTGGATAGGCTATTTAGCTACACCACTGTTGTAGTATAATAAGTGTATAATGTATAATTAATGACTAATGTCCATAATGTTAATAATCAAACGTACCTATATTATAACATGTTTCAAGTATCTTACAAGTGTGATATTTATTTGTTAAGGCAATACTTCAATAATGAAATTATGAATTTTAATTAAATTTATTTAAATCAACATACATTTTATTAATCACGATGTTACGTTTTTAGGAAAATTACATAACCTAACTTCCAAGGGCGTTATTTCGACAAAATTTATCCAAATGCGTGAATGTTTACCAACAATCGTGGACATCGTGGTTAGGTATATATTATTGTCTTCAGTAAAGCTAACTTGTCATTCTACATTTGTTTGGGTTAGCGTCAAGCAAATTAAAATGTTACTTTTTTTATTTATTTTATATACTAAATATACACCTACAATCTATGCTTATAGGCTATAATAGGGCACAATAATTACATGTGGTAAGGAAAGATATAGATACATATTTATTTATAAGCACGTTAGTGAATTGTAATAAATACAATATTTACATGAAAAGGCGGATGTAAATATTACGAAAAATGTTACTAATGTTGCCTATAGTTGTTATTTAAAAAAAAAATCTATATTGTTATTTGTTAAATATATTTACGATTATGAGTACTTTTCATTGAGTCTTTTCGGTATTTTGTAATAAACACAGAATTTAAAAAAAAAAAATTAAACATTTTAATCGTACGTTTATGGCCATAAGGCGTTCATAGAGATGATACATCGCAATGCAGCAGGCTTCGTTGATAGGTTTCGTAGAGACCGTACAAATGCGCATACAAATCTTCAACATTATACACGATCCAACAGCGTGAAAACTTTTGGATTGGCCTCGTTGGTCCAGTGACAGCTGGCCATAACCGTTGAAAAAAATTCAGATTGGATTCGATTAGATTATTTAAAAAGTTTTTTTATTTATAAACAGGAAACGAGTTTATCAAAACTATAAAACATATTGCGGGGAAAACATGTTGGTTTTTCAAAAAAATTAATTATTTTGCACTATGAGAATCCAAAACAAAGTTATAAAAATATCGTATTACCATTTACCAACAAACTAAATGTCCAAGTCAAAACCATCCGACTCGCGTTTAACCATTTGTATACCTCTACATATTTTGAAATTAAAATTCGTAGGTATTGAAATAAATTATCATCGCGTTGTCGTCGGCGCAGGGCAGATACCCTGTACACTCTGCAATTACTGCGTATATATATACAAAGCAGCAACCCCTCGGCGGGCGCGACGTAGATAACAACGATAACAGTAGTAATAATGTGTATATTATACGGTCGTGTAGTTTGACTAACAGTCTTTTTGCACGGACCGCCGCCGCGGAATAATATTGTTGACATTAATCCCGCGGATTATCCACGCCGGGCGTGTGTGCCCCGTTCATTTTTCACCCCATTCGTTTTGCGGCCGCCCGGGGCGGGTGGAAAATAAAAAAAACACACACGCACATAATATGTACATAAACCCTCGTCGCACACACGCGAAATTGAACGCTAATGGCGTATTAAACTATAGCCGCGCAGTTGTAGTACCGTGACGACGGGGAATAATAAATATAACGGATTAACAGATAGCTATATAGCACTAGAGGGGAAAAAACCTTATTGTATAGTATACATATATATATATATATTATGTGCCTACACTCTGCGCGGCAAACAATTACGAAAAAAGGGGTTGTTCGACCCCGTGTATATGTACGGTTTGAGGCGTGTACATGCACGCACACCGGCTGCACCCTCCTTCGTCTAATTATTATTATTACACAACGCGACGCTCCCCATGTATACACCTAACTCCAATACACACGTTCATTTATGTACGCATATATATATATTCTACACTACTTTATATAATATACACTACTTCTGCATATATACGCTCCACCGTCGTGCCTTTTGTAAAACGATAATGGCCTGGGTAGATGTGAAAAAAAAATACCACCACCATCACTATTTCAACCCTCTCGTCAGCGGCACTGTCGTTATTATTGAGATGTCTCGATTGAGCTTCCCTCCCCATACCTGTCCCATCCATTCGTCCTATTAATTTCGCTTGCTCATCTCCGGTAGCGCCACAAATCGAAGCACGCGTGCTCACCAGAACGGCACCGATGTAGTGTTGACATAGCTGCGATCCAGAGTCTGACGAGTATAATACACACTACACCGCCACTACAACTACGGCTGGTAACACCGTACACAACCGGGGAGAGTACTTAACTTCCGGTCGGTAAACACTTTTCAAAAATCGTTTTCCTCCGGATAAACAAAAGGAACATTGGATAAACAACGAGTGCCGCTGTGCCACACCCCCAAAAAAATAAAAACGACGTTATAATAATCGCCGCTTTTGCACGGAGGTTCAGGTGGGTAAATAATGAAAAAGACAAACAAGCTGGATTTCTACATGCATTATTAAATCTATATTTAATCGTTTGAAAATAAGATCTATAAAATGAAAACAAAAACCTTAGAAAGAAGAGTTAAACATCATATTGATAAAATGATAACATTCAAATGTATTAAATTTATGAAAAAAGGATATTTATAAAATGAAAACTACATACCTAATATATACTAACGCAATTTACTACACGTCATATAAGCAGGACGAGGAAAGATGGACATAGACGTTGTGACGAATAGTTGTTAAATGGTCATCATCGGTTAGGTATACAACATTTTATACCTTGGGATCCTCTTTATATAATAATGTTGTATGCAAAGTATATACAACACAATAATAATAATAATAATAATAATAAAAAAAAAACATTTTTCTCGTTTTTGGATTTAGCCTTGATTTATATATTATATTCGTAACGGATGTAAAAAATAAGTCGATCGAGGTCTTCAATATTCCCGAAAGTTAAATCTGGTCCACGTGTTCATTACAGCGCGGTGTGATTGACAATCAAATTCTCGTCATTGTATACATTGGTCATTGATGCACCATTGAGTGAACAATAAAAATCAATATTTTAAACCAAAACCATGTTTCATCCTTTGTTTTTCACTGTTTTTAATTGGTATTGGAATGTCTTTATGTGTTCAATATTGATTTCTAAAAATAATATTTAGTCATAAATAATGAACATCTTAAAATATAAACCATGTATTTAACATTAATATTATAAACCCAAGTTAGAGGGTATCCACACTGATGGGCCTCCTTCCTCGTGCTATTCATGTTTTATATAAATATTACAGATTTTAAATACTTATTTTTATCTAATAAAAAAAAAAAAAATTTTAAACGAAAACAACTACTCACTGACTGATTTAGCCATTTCCATGAGCTCTGGTGATTCCATTAGGTCGTCTGACCCTGTAATTAACGTAACAAGTCCTGTGTTCTCACCATATTCTTCTGTAAAATAGTTGCAACATTCCAAAATATGTTTGAAATTACTGTAAATATAACAAAAAACACCATTAATACATTGATAGGAACTTTAAAGTAATTTTAGTAATTATTGCTTGCCAAATTTCTTTGCTCAATTTCGGTGGACCGTCTAGTTTAATTGGTAGTGATTCATGTATTCCTTGGGATTTTAAGTTGCAGTTTCCCTCTTGCAACTGAAATTCTAACCAACGTATAGTCAGCCTGACTTCTTTGCTTAGTTTCTTTTGCTCGTCTAATGCCGATATTACTGAAACAAAAATAATAATAATAATAAAAAAAAAAAAAACTAACATAAACGTTGAAATTTTTTTTATTAGCGAACAATTATGTCGATAAACGTATCAGGTACATACCAATTGCGGGTACTACTACAATAAACTTGGTGCTGTTAACAAGTTTCTTGATTATCAACGAATAATTAATCAAAGCATCTGTATCGATCACGATACATGTGGGCAACGATTTTTTCCTTGAAGAGTATTTCATCTTGTACTCCAGATTGTCCACTTCCGACCGGAGCCATAGTTGACCCATCACGTGTTGTTTGTCTCGTTTCGCGTCCTTTAATGATTTTTCGTCGGTCTATAAGAAAAACACGAAAATAAAATAGAGTATAAATAGGTAGAGGTACACGAGCGGTATGATGATAAAATGAAAATGTCTTATGACGACGACGTTCGGTTTATTTGTTTTCAACGGTTATAACGTTCCAGAATTGCTCTGAAATTACGATTCCCACCGCCCCTCTACTACTACTTCTACTATTACAGTAGAGTGAAGACGATAAAACCGTCGTCTGCGATTCGAGTCCATGTTCATTCTAGTTTCCGTTTTGTCGACCGTATTTAATACGTCTGGAATCTTTTATCGTCCCTCGAATATAGTCATAAAACCGGCAGACCGTACGACGATAATGGAATACGGTTAAACGCTCGGCAAAAGGGCTCCCTTACGACCCCTAACCTCAAAGCTTTACGGTTATAAATTTCCCCGACCTCCATTCCCTCGCCAGGTCGGCTAACGGTGACACGCCCGCACAACGCCAGGGCTTTTGCTCGCTTCTCTCTCCCGCTTCCCAAGGCTATTACTGTACTAAATGGGAAAAGGAGACGGGATTCTTGTGATTCTTTCATCCCCCGAGGCTGAAGCAGGGGTACATTTTATTTCATTGAAATTTAACTCTCAAAGAATAAACAAAAGCAGTATATATACTTGTTTATGTGTTATGTCCTGCCTTAGACTTACTAAACATTTTCATTAAGGTGTTGACGTTTGCACACTTTGAAATGTAATTTGGTATTTTACGGTTTTATGCAGTGATTTAATTTTACTACAAAATATTGTGGAACGTTTATTATTTTTTTTTTATACTACTTACCTACTTAGAAAATAGAAATATCATAATAACAACTAATATTGACATAATATTGTGGAGTATATTACAATATTATGTGATATATTTGTTTTTTGTAAAAGGATATTTTATTTTCTAACACTGAGTAATACATAGAGTTTATAACAGTTTTGGATATTTTTTTAATTATATTACTCAATAGGCTGGTACCCTAAAATTTGTTTTATTTATATTATTTACAAACAGTGAGTATACCTTAAACTATTTATTTTTTACAGGATACTTAAGGAAAATAATTATTGTTAAAATGTAAATACCTGTATAATACCATTTAATATTCACTGAAAACACGTTATAACACTACCTATAGATTGCTATAATTGAAAAACATGGTAAATTACTCAACCAGCAGGTCTTAAAATAAATTACGTGTATTTTAAACTATATTTGAACCATAAAACTATAACCTAAAAGTATAATAAATTGGTCAATTGGCTGGCGATAGTCGTATAGTGTGTCACTGGTCAATATAAGTTTAGGTCTTGAACGCGAGCTCTTACAATTAATTTTCATTGTGAAAGTGAATGCAAGGGGGGAGGGTATAAAAGAGCAGAAGTTCCAATAAAGAAAAGATTTAACAACCCTGCCGCAGTCGTTTGTGTGCGAGACATTGTTAATAAGAGTTTTAGAGGACGCAATAAATAAACCCATAAAACGCGTAAGGAGCGTAATATTGGGGCTCCGCATGCCAGCTATTACAGTTATGCCTCCCTCCCACCACACAAGGGGCGGGTCGACGGCCATAAAAACTTTGACGGCTCTGGCGAGGGTGACACATCCCTCCCGGATCACTTTGTAGCTGCAAAGCTCGTAAAGGAAAGAAAGAGAGAAAAGGGAAACCGAGGAGAAAGAAGAAAGTATAAGATATAATATAAACCCGACTACGCCGTTGGAATCGTTATTGGCGAGATCCGCTTTCAACATCTTCAAACTGCTTTATTGTGTTGCAACAGCTAGGGGTGGATTTTACTCAATATATATTATACAACCCGTGAAAAGGGCAGGTTTTCCTTCTTGTTTCTTTTTTTTATATATATATTTTAGTTTTTATCTTCTATACAGTCTCATGAATATTTACAATACAGACTTTGCTATTCCAATCTCGCGCTTTCGTTTGTCGCAGTAAATGTCGTATTTTCCAGAGGGCAGAAAACGAAAAAAAAAAAAGAAAAACCTTTTGCTACTTTCATAAACTCTACTGAAATCCTAAGACTGGTAGACACGGTTTTTTCTTTTTTAATCTGGGATATAGGTGCTCAACTACTTTGTTACATTTACATACTTGATTTAGGTACTTATAAGCCAACACTTTTTCGACCACTATATTGTGTTGATTGATTCAATGGCTATATTATTTTCAATAGGTATAGCATTATTACTCTGTTAATAATAGATTTTTGTCTAAAGTTTGATTAAATGTCAAAAAAGGTTTTAAGTTAGTAGAAGAGTACAGTGAACGCTCCCTTAACAGACACCTCTAAAAAGCGCATACCTCCACATAACATACGTTCTTTTGTAACAAACTAGAAACTGAACACACGGAACAGCGAACACCTCCGAGTAGCGGACACAATTTCAGTAACTAAGAGTATCCGATATGTAAAGGTTTCAGTGATAAAAAAATCAATAAAAGTCAATGATTTTAAGCATAATATAATTATATTTGTGTGGCTTGGTGCGGCGCAGTGTGTGCACTCAACTGCGGAAACACACTGAGTCTGCGTAACGGCCGGCGTTGCTAGTTCCCGGATGGGTGACCACCCGGGATTTTTAGCAACAAATCCTTGTCACACATACAAAAAACGTGTTTTCAACCGCCCCCCCCCCTACTAACAAAACAAAACACTTAATGGCCTAAGTTGCAGGCCTCAAGCTCAAAATAAAAAAAAAAAAATTATATTTTTGATTTTAATAATGAAAACGTTTAGTACAAATTTTATAGTAAATGGTGGGGAAGTGGGTAATGCTCTGCTGTGTAGTAAGTGTCAAGTGGGTCATTCTAATGGATGATGTATTAAATTTGAATTCAATGATAAATTATTGTACACAAACGATTCTGAGCGGAGACAACCTATTATTAACCAATATTACTAGATATAATTTAATAAATTAAATATATATTGATATTGTATTAGTAATTTATTTTACTATTAGTACAATCATAGGCGCCAGGTTTTCAAAAATGTATTGGGTGCTCTTACCAATGTCAAGCAGCGGCGCACGCAGGGTTGTGGTGGGGGTTAAGGGGGTTCGAAATTTCTCCGAGGCCTAGTATAATGTTAGGGCTATACAATATTTATCTCTATAGCAAATTATTAATAGAATAACACCCCTCCCACCGAAAAAAATTCTGTGTGCACTGACGTCAAGTATTAGTGAGGGGCTTTCCCCCTCACACTCTATACTAAATTTTCTATAAACTGGTAACAAAACATATTTACAAATTACAATATAATATTTTATACAATTTTTAATGAATACCGAGTGTCCGAGTATATAATAAAATAAAAGTTTTTAGTAACATTTTAAACAATTAAAATTTTTATTTCATGGAAGTTCTGCATTGAGGACTTCAACCCTCTCAAAAATATTAATCATTACTTTAGTATAAAATAAAAATTCATATTTGTGCAATTGTTTGAGAAAACCACTTGCTTTGGCACCATTCTCTGACCTATCTTTTGATATATTATCTAAAAACTTTATTAAAACTGCATAATTTTACGAGTAGTATAATGTTTTTAAAGACTTTACTCGCATACACCATCTGGTTGGACAGAATGAACGAAGTGATTGAGAATTTAAAAAAATTGAGCATTGAAAATTGCCTGCCTTTTGGGAGAATAGCGTACAAACACTAAATAGATCTTATCATTGCTAAAAAATCTCGAGATCTATCTACACTCATCATACCATCTTGGACCACAAAGTTTAAAGTATGTGCTACACAGTGAACATATATAGCACGTTTTTCAATATCTAAAATTCTTTTTTGGAGACCACTGATATGACCACTTACATTTTCAGCACCATCATAACACTGATCACGACACTCTGATAATGTTAGATTGAACTTTGTTAAAATATTAGATACTAAGGTGATACAGTTAGTGCACGGTTGATTCAGTTTTAAAAAAACCCAAAAACAGTTCGGATATTACGATTTACCTATTATAATTAATATATTGGCCATTGGGTGCTCTGCACCCAATAAATATTTTCAATGGGTGCTCGAGCACCCATGTACTTGGCGCCTATGAGTACAATGGTAGATTGATTTCATATTTTCCAAAAATATTAAATATATATTTAATTGCTTGGTTTCAGTATAAACATCTATAAAAAACCTCTTATACATTTTTAACAATACAATTTGTGTTTATAGATTTTTAAGATTTGTTGATTACAGTATAATGTAATAATGAAAACCTTGTTTTATTCTATCTTTTTGACATACTGAAATTTTTTTTATCAATTTTTATAGAAAAATCTTAAATAAATTAAATTTAAAATGTCTATAAAAAGCTCAATAACAGTTAAAATATTAAAATATTATTAAAATTATACCAAGTAAAGAAATTGTTAATACAAACATTTGACGAGAATTATTTGTTTCTGAGCTTCTACAAAAAACCTAATTGATTTTGTCAAAAACTGGTTTTGAGTAAAAAGCTAAGTAAGTTTTTCTTAACTCTTTGTTTAGTTTTTCCCGACACTTGAAAACTACTGAAAATTTTAAAAATAAACAGATTTTAGAAGACCTCTTAAAAGTACTAACTATATGCAATTTGCTATCAGAAACCACCCTTAAAGTTGAAAATCAAAGCATTTTTTCGACTAATTTTCGTGTATATAGATTTAAAGAAAAACATCCTTGTACACTCAATACATCCATTTCTCTGCTCAAAATCTAAAATATTCACTTTAATGAGCATAACAGGTAATAAATAACATAAATTGTATTATTTCAGTGTAATATTACTATAAACCTATATGTACCTAATTGTTTAATGGACTTTGAAAGGCTTTTATTAATTGAGTATTAGTATTAGCAGATGAATTACTTGTACACTAAACAAATTATATTGATACTCACTTGTTTTAAAGAACCACATATTGAAAACCATTTTTTGATTTTGTCATAAGTGAATAATACATTGTTGGATGCTATTTCTTCTGCACAATGTAATATATGCATTAATCGAACCATTCCCTATAATAAAAAGTGAATGTTAATATTGCTATTAAGTAATGAATACTTAATTAACACTTTGAATACACTAAGTATTTATGAAATTGAATGATTTTGCCATAGTAAGTATTTAAAAGGTAGGGCCTATACATTTTGTTGAACCAAGTCATTATATTTTAAGCTATTGTGAGGCTTTTAAAATAATAATTGACAAATCTACTAGTTTTGAATGACTCATACTTATTTAGGAATGTCAGAAAAGATGGGTTTATAATAAGTAAGATATAATCTTTGTAATAGTACTAAAGAATATTAAGGGTATTTGCAATAGACATTTTTTATTTACATAACAAATAGACCTGGGAAAACTATCATCATATTATATTATATTAATTGTGGTCATTAATAAATTACCTGAACTTAATATTGAATTCAAAGTACATAAGGACAATAATGTTATATGCTTATCATTTTTTTTTTTTTTTAAAGTATTATTGTCTTAAATATATATTTTTTTAAATAAATTAAGTTGATATATATATTTTTACTAATAGAAGAAATAAGTATTAAGCAGTAAAATGATTAACCAGTATTCCAAACTAACTTCTTATAATGATAAGTTTATTGTTTTTATATTAAAAATTAAAATGTCTTTTAATATATAAAATATGAAATAAAATGTACAGTCATATTAGATAATATATTTAATAATGCTCGATGAAAAAAAATTGCCTACCTCATTTTTAGTACAAATATTGCGATCATATTCTCCACAATATTTTTTAGACTTGGAAAAAACAGTCATACCACGCAAATGCACTTCTTCTGGTAACATAAAACGATTGATGTCAATGTCTAAGAATGAGTCTTCAATATTAGCTTGCGACAAGTAATTTAAAAGTGTAACAGTATTGTTAAAGAATTCAACTGAAGCTTCAGGATTTATGGAATCTATATTTGGTTGAATCCAATCAAAATATATCTAAAATAAAGTAAATGATTGTAATAATTAATCTATTACAGGCAAAAAATAAAATAAAAATATTAATACCTTTATGGTTTCAATAAATGGTATTTTTAATAGCGGAGATTTTGAATTATTTTTATTTTCACAACCAAATGATGATGTACCACTATCATTTGACCCGTCAGATTCTGTAATAAAATTAACAATACATTTATTTAGATAGTAACATAAAAAATATTTTTATTACATACCATTTTTTGATTTGTCATCATTGGGCCTTTTCATATCAAATATTAACATCTCTTCTTCACTTTCATCATCTGAATCGTCATCAGGACTTATTACACTTTCTGCTTCATCTAATTATCATACAATTTTGTTTTTAAAATATTAATTCAAATTCATCATTTACTAGAATATTTTATTACAATTATATTTACAAATATTAAATATAATAGAAATGACATATTAATTTAAAAATATACTAACCTCCACTCCATTCTTGAGAATCTGGAGAAGAATGTTGTCTAAAACCACGTCTACGACGTCGACGGTTTAATTTTACATGGTCTATATTAGGATTAACTAACAGCGGTAAGTTTTTTACACAGTAAGTTACACTTTGACCAATTAAGTGTTCCATTAGTGATAAAAGGAATAACTCAGCTTTTAGGATGTATTTAGACTCTGGAAATAAGTATTATTTATTAGGCATTTAAAAATTTTTTTAAGGATTTTAATAGAGGAAAACAATTAGTTATTATCAGTACATTTAACAATCAAATGAGGGACAAACCAACATGTAAAAAATAAAAAAAGGTGCTTTGCTGTACAGTAGGTTACAAGTGGGTCACTGTATAATGGATGGTATTAAATTTAAATTCAATGTTATTATAATATCATTGTATAAGAAAAACGATTCTGAGCGGGGACGGTATGTATGTCTAGGTATAAGACATATTATATACTTATCTATGGTATTAAAAAAAAAAATGACCTATAATAGGTACCTATAATAAATTTTAAATTAATCATATCACAATATTCATTAGGTACTTATAAAAAGTTATACATCAACAACAAACCCTGATACTATCATAGATATATAATAGTGTACTTTAGAAGTTTCAAGTACACAAGAATAATATTATAAAATCACAACAAAATAACTAAAATAGTAATTCTAGGTTTTTTATTATGTAATTTTGTTCAGATTTGAACTTAAATTACTATAAAAATAAAATTTGATTATGTATTTTTTAGATTTTTTGGTAAGAGAATAACTACTTACGTGGAATCTTGTTTTAAATTTTCCATCCTTAGATATAAAAGTTGAACATTTTATAAATTATTAACTACAAAATAATTATTCAATTTTAAATTTGATAAATTTTGTCAAAATTTGATCTTTAAATGCTTATAAAAAAAAATTGTGCCCATGTATTTTTAATATTTTTCAACTGATATTGTTACAATATATCAGGAGTCTTGTATTAAATTTTTACACTTTTTGGCTCAAGAGATAAAACTTTATTGATATTTATAGAAAAAAAAAAAAAAAAAAAAAAATTGAAAACTGTAATTGTCCGTAAACAGCTCAAAAAGAGTCAAAATATTTTCAAAATTGTATGGTGTATAGGAAATGCTAATATAAATATTCAGTGAAATTTTCATGCATCTACAGTTATTCGTTTTTGAATTACAACAAAATAAAGAAATCGCTACATGAGAAATCGAGTGAATATCCTATGTTGTAAAAATTTGAATTTCAAACACTCATAAAAATTTAATTTGACTTTCTTATAGACATTTTTTTTTTGATAAAGGTAGATAATCTTATAAGGAATCTTGTACTACATTTTAAAATCTTAGATTTAAAAAGAAAAAGTAATTTATAAAACTTCAACTACAACATTAACTCAAAATAATTTGCTAATTTTCGTGATTTTTCCATATTTTGTCAATTTTCGAACTTTAAATGCTTATAAAAAAAAACTGTGATTAAGGATTATTAATATTTTTCATCTGCCTTTGAAAAAATATACTAAGAGCCTTCTATTAAATTTTCAAGCTTTTTTAACTAACAAATAAAATTTTATTGATATTTTTAGAAAAAAAACTAAAAAAAAATGGAAAATTAAAATGTCCCTAAACAGTTCAAAATAAATCAAAATATTTTGAAAATGTTATCGTGTATAGAAATTGCAAATATAAACAATCAGTAAAATTTCATGTATCTACGGTCATTTGTTTTAAAGTTACACCAAAAATCAAATTTAATTTTGTGAAAAATTGATTTTGCGTAAAAATTCCCATTTTTCCTTAATTTTTCTTTTGTTTTTCTTAGCGCTTTTGAAAATTACTGGGAATTTTAAATTTAGACCTCCACAATGCACCAACGATATTTGCTTTCCAATCGAACAAGATATTGAAGTTGAAAATCGAAGCATTATTTCGACTACTTATCGTGTACACACACAAAAAAAAAATAAAAAATAAAAAAAACACACATCATTGTAAAATCAATACGTAAAATCGTTCCACTCAGAATTTAAAAAAATATTAAATTAGAAAATTAATTTTATGTGCAACGTAAAAAAATTTTTTTATTTAAAATCTTTTAACGTTAACACAACCAGATAACTGATAAGTCAGTTTGACGTCTAAAACAATGTTGGTGACATAATATCACTAAATATTAATCTAAATAATTATTAAATGCTGTTAAACAGCCTTCTTCAGGTTTTCCGTCAGTATTTCTCGTATGTACTAATTTTACAATATATTTTTGATTTTGGGTAGGTATCGAATTCAAAATATTAATGTAACCGATCTTAAAATTAAGTTAATTTACTTTTAACTTCAAATTTTTCTGTATTCATGAGTTAAAAATATTATTTAAGAGGACGTCGCACCCGCATGTGTTGTCTCTGTCTTACACACGTACGATATAGCAAATTTTCGTTCACTAGTTTCAATAGGGTGCTGTCATTTTTGATTTTAGAGTGAATTGACCCATTATCAAACTTTTACGTAACAACATTATCTGTGTTCTCTCATTGGTTTTGTACGATATTTTAATTTTTAAGTTAGTTATCAGTATGTAAAAACTTGTCCAGCCTTTTCATAATGACCACCAACTGCAAAGACCTTACAAAATATTGCATTGAACAAATATTAACACACTACAAAATATTATTTTGTCACATAAATATTTATACCCACTATTTACTATAGTTATTTGTGTTTGGTCAATAATACATTGGGTTTTTCTAAAACTTAAAAGTACTTATTAAGTAGATAATGTGTAACTAATAATCAAAAATACTATGTTTTTGTGTGCTGAAAACAAGTTCAGGTGTGACTATGTGAGCTACCTTTAATCTGTCTATAGTGGTTGAAAAATGAGATATTATCACCCTCCAAACTTCAAGGAATCTATTTTATAACTTTTATTGAAAACAGTCAATATTTATATATACAAGGATGATTTTTGAAGCACTATCGCCCAATTTTATGCTCAAATGATGTATTTATTCAAATTCTGATTTTTGGAAATTTTAAATACACTTGAAGACCATGTTTTTGAATAATTGACATTTATTGTAACAGTTACAATACAAACTTCTGTTTTTCAAATAGGAACCCCTCTTTTTCACTTATAATTATTGTGCAGGTATTTTTTAGAGACTTTTGATATATCTAAATCAAAATTTGAGAGAGTAGTTATTGAGTTATATAACTTTGTGTACTAAGGACAATATATTTATAGTAATGGACTAATTAGATATGGGGGCTAGGATAATTTTAAAATGTTATTATTTAATATTGATCTATCAGTAAATAATTTAAAGGGTTAAAGGGCGATACAAGTATAATAAATACTATAATATCTAATATTACATATTTACATTATATATTTGTGAAACCATTTTTAAGTATCATTATCCTTAGTATAAACTTAGATTACCTATAACTTGAAAAATAGAAGTTTGAAACATCACAGGTAATTTTTAAATGTTTTTCAAATACAATAGTATATAAAAATTTAGAATGACATGGAAGAATATACTTGGCGTGTTGATAATACATAGTGCTTTGCAACTGACTGCCAGCGTGTTAAAAGTGAAAAATGGGGGTGAGCATGTTTAAAAAATCACTCTGTATGGATAAAGAGTTCTCTATATCTCTTAACAATAAGATATAAAATATTAAATTTAATCAGCATTACCTTCTTTATGTAACTTGTTTAAGCACGCTATTATGATAACAACAATTTTGAATATATTTTCATTAGTTGACAAAAATTTTATAGTATCCTTAACTGAAGGTGTTAGGGTATCTTCCTTAATAATTTCTTTTTTTTTATCAGCTGTATTATTTTTGTTCTTAAAATCATCAATATTCTGCAGAATGCTTATAATGCTAGAATATATCTATAAGGGTAATCGTGAAATACTATATATTATGTTATGTATATTATTAGATCAATATAGCAGGAAGTAAAATTTACTTTATCTAATTCTTGCCCACTATCTTTTCTTCCAGTATACCATAAGTCAAAAACAGAAAACAGTTTTTCTAAAAATACATTTCCAACTGGTTCAGACTTTTGTTGCAATGATAATATTAAGTTTTTTTCTCCTCCTTCAAATGGTTCAATGCTAAAAACACTAGAAATTTTCAAAATAAAATTAGAATTGACTATAAAATTAATGTATAGGGTTGTCATAAACCAGGACTGTCACTCTTTGAACCAACAAATTAAAACATTTCAATTCAATTTTATCAAAAGGTTATATACAAATTTATCATTTATTTATGAAAGACCTCATAAAAAAGACTTACTTATTAAAACTTACAATACATAAATAAATTCTCAGAGTAAATACATGTGGACAATATTAAAAAAGAAGACAAATTGGTAGCTGATGCATAATAATTAATAATATATTATTTTAATATTTAACCCTTAACTAAACGCGCTGTTGTATATTGTACACCAAACTTCCCATTTATCTTGTTCTATTTGGTTTTATAATCGTTTTCAGTTATTATCCTAATCTAACCTTTTTATATCATATAATTAATAGTTAGAAATCCATTTCAGTTTTCGTTAAATGTTTGTAACAACATAAAAAAGCTCCATAATTAATAATTTTTGTGTCAGTGAACAAAATTTGACGTGCGTGTAATATTTTTTACGATGATAATTATTGAAAAACAAATTGCGAGTGTAGTTAAGACTTAATTTGCTTATTTTGTTGCATGTCCTGAATCTGTTTGAGGTATTTATGGCAACCCTATGAATGTACCTATTATTATAATATTATTTATAGGTTAGGTTACCATCGAACATAATGGTAAACAGCATCTAAATGTTTGTTATTGGATAATGCCAATCGTCCAATTTGATTATGCGGGAGTCCATTTGCTGGTTTATAGTTTAATGCTTGCTTGTAATACCGACAAGCTGTTGAATAATATAAATCTAGTTTGTTTAGTTCATACATATATCGTGACAAATCTCCCAAACATATCAAGCAGCGGTAAACTAATTGTTTCATACCAACTTCTTCTTTGTTACCTGGAATGAATGAATTTAGAAGGAATAAGGTGAGTACAATTATTTAGGTATCTATGTTTTAATTTACCAATATCATTCTTTTTCAACAAAGTGATATGATCTTTTTTGACATTATTATCTGTATCATCATTTATCAGTAGATAAAAATCAAATAATTCAGGCTTATTGATTTTCATTTCTGCTTGAAATTTGAATAGTAAATGATAATAACTGCCAATACCTGACTGAAAATGATTTTCTATTAGTGCCAATTCCATGTGATTCCAATCATTATTCTGAAATAAAATCAATGTCTTAATAGGTATTTTGGGAAAAAAACAGTTAATAAATTTTATATTTATGTGTAATATATCAATAAAACGGACAAAGGTATACTCAAATCGGAATAAGATCATGACCAGTAGCGCATTCAAAACAACTTCCTTCACCGCACGCCGTTGTAGCCACTACCATTTTTTCATATAGAAGGCGTGCGGCGAAACCAGTAAGAAACCAGCCACCATAACGGACCACCGCCCGGTCATGATCTTAATCCGATTTGAGTATACATGCTTATACAATAATAATATAGTAAGTAAAAATTTAGTTATTTCATTACTTTGCGTAAAATTTTAGCAGTAGAATAAACATCATGATAAGTTTTGCGCCACATGATATCTTCAGCCTTTCGGCCATAACATAATGGATCTGCAAGCATCATTCTTTCACAATAGTTTTTTAATTTTATTCTCTGTGTATCAACAGTAACGGTAAAAAGATCTTTGCAAGACAAAGACCTGCCACGTTGATCATCCAAAAAATGAGAAACATCATTTATACTCCTGAAAACATTATTTTTCAAGTTTATATTATATTTTAATGACATCATATTGGTGAATGTATATTTTTAAACATGAAATTCAATATTAAACAAGTATTTAACAACACAGGTAGGTATAACAGATTAAATTGTTGTTTTAATTACATTTATGTAACTGAATTTAAAATACCTAGCAATTATATTATTTTTTATTTACCTTACAAGCTATTATGATTGTATACCTACCTACATAGTTACCAAAACTAATTTTTGAAAAGAAAACTTGATAAAAATATAATATAGATAACTAAAAATAGCAGGGTGATGATTTACACACAGGATTAAACCTTGTGATAGAACTGTAACGGATGAGGATCGTACAAGGGTGAACAAAAAACATAGTACATACCAGTTGTGCACCGAATGGCGAATACAAAAAAAAAGGGCAGTACACATAGGGCAGAGCCTTATTACTCACTTGTACAGTTTCTTGACCGATTCGCTGGCGTCCGTGGCAGGCTCCGCTCCGCGACTGTTATGCAATTTTTTCATGGCAACCATTTGCCGCCACTAGCATACACACTATTTTAGACACTTATTGTTCGTATCTGAGTGCCAAAAAACTCAGAGTTAGTTGAGACCTTTATAGGTACTGCCGATGTACCATGAGCAGGTGTCTTGTCAATTGTCAGCAGCTGCTGGTTATGCTATTCTTCATGTTGACATGGCCTCACCATCGACGACAGCGACTTTCAGTAGTGATCGGTGAAAATTCTAAGGCAAAGGTCACTCCGTGTCAGTATCTTTGTTCGGAATGAACCAGTGATAAATGACAACGGATTCCGTGACGGACGAAATCAAGAGTCGGCAATTTTCCGTAATCCCGTATCCAACAAGTTGTAGTTGTCCGTGGAGCGGATATCGTCTTGTTTTAAATGATATTATACAACAATTATTGTCAAACGCTGAGAATTAATTAATGAAAATAAACAATGGCACAATGGCGATGACAGACATAAGGAATTAGGAAAGAAGTAACAAGTAATAACTATTAACTTAGAAGTTTAAAAGTTATTTCTAATTTATATGACTGCAGCTATTTACGAGATAATAACGAAAAACTATGGCTATGGGTCATGGGCTGCAAAATAGGTACTGACTGGTGTCTGCCTTCTGGTGAATTGTGGTACAAACAGTATAACCACAACGTTATCAGCACGGGCTGCGGCCAGTGCGGCCAACGATATTGCTGCAAGATGTAATGTTAGTTGTTGTTAGTATAATATTATGGTAACCTCGAAAAACATTATTGTATTGTCTGTTGCAGTCTGTTGACTATCGGTATTCGAAAAAGGCGCAATTTAACGGTATCGTGCGCGCTTGTTCATTGTTGTTATTGTTATTTGTTTTCAGTTTTGATTTCATAATAAAATAATTATTCGTCTACGAGGTCCGTGTCAACAAAGCATCGTGCTTTCGTGCTATCTCCATTCGTCACTCGTTAGTCGTTAGTCGCTATCGACATCACGCGTCGAAAAAAATCCGGAAATTTGAATTGGAAATCCACTTGAACGCTTAAACCTATAGGTGAATTTACTACAGTTCAATGTAGGTACACATTGTACTCGCGACTCATTATTAGTACTCGTCGTTTTTATGACACTTGAGCCCATCCTAAAAGCTTTGGACCTAAGACCGCCCCTCTGATCCCGTCTACTGATTGTACTGTTACTAAAATCCCAGTAAGTACCCGTTTCAAATTATAATATTATGTAACGTGCTGTGTGTAATAAATCACTTAATAATATTTGTGTTTGTTGTATACTTAGTATCTAATTCCTGTTATTGCTCCTACCAATTACCATAATATTTTAATCTTTTATTGTAATGCCTCACGGAATACATTTTCCCCCGCATTTTCCTAAAACTATCTATTGCTTTTTTTGCATGTTCAAAACAAATAGGGCATATAAACCACTCTAAGTAATAGACTTTTTATGAAAAATAAAACAATACTTAATAATAACTTAATATATTCTTCAAACTTAGATGATTTGTTTGCAAATGTTTAGTAAATAATTGATGGAAGGTATCTAAATGATAACTAAGAAATGTGATGGTGCATTATTTTGATGCAATAACAGAAAAGAGATGATTTTGCCCCAATTATGCCTGTTTGACAGTACTAAGGCTCTAATAGACTTCTTAATAGTTCTTAAAGAGCCCTAACAATACCAGAGTCTGGAATTGTAGTTTTACCAAAGTAATATACAAAACATCAATAACATCTATTATGGTACTGCATCAAATATTAATGCATAATATTGTTGTATAGTTAAAACGAAATAAGTTCACTTAACATAATTTGGTAGTTAGTTCAAAGTTAAATTAAGAAATATTTGTGGGGGGAGGGGCTAAAAACATTATCTGTGTTCTCTTGTTGGTTTTTTTATAATATTTTAATTTTTAAGTGAATTATGAGCATTTTCAATTATTAATATTTTGAAAACTAATAATTCACTTAAAAATTAAAATATCGTAAGAAACCAACTTGAGAACACTGATAATGTCAATTATTATCATGTTCTTACCTAAAAAGTTTGTTAATAAGTCAATTCACTCTAATAATAATATCAAAACTGACAGAACACTATTGAAACTACTGAACATCAATTTTCTATGTCATACGTGTGTAAGACGGAGACAGCATAGCAGGTGCGATGTTCTCTTAACTACTAACAAAATAATCTACACTCTGTCCTATGAGAGAATGGGTTATTTTTGCGCATATTATATCGTTTGGTGTTTCTCTCTTCACATTACGAGAAGTTAGACGGTTGTGGCGGTGAATAGTTTTGGTCGTTGAATAGAGTAGTTGGCAGTTGCATTGTGTGCATATTGTATATTATATTCTAATCGTCTGCTGACATTTTATTCAACTGTTTGTGTCATAGATTTTATCCCCGAATGAAATAGGAATCCATTTTTTAAGATTGTAAATAACATGTTTAATTTTTATTAATTGTTTTGTATTTTATATTTTATGCTCTGCTGTAGTTTTTATTAGGTATTACAATTACTATTAATAAAATAAAAAATATATTGTTTTTACAGATGGCTAGCCGCCAGTCTGTTAGCTCTATACTGAAGCCACCAAAAGTGAGGGCACCTCTAAAAGAAATTGAATCGGTTGATCAAGATGCTGATGAAAATACTGCAACATTGGCCAAAAGAAAAGTAAGTTTTTCAGGAATGAATAAAATAAAAATGTACAACACAGGTGCTACATCTTTAACTGTACATCAAGCTCCTATGTTTGATGAGCAAATTTCAATGTTATCTGATTCTTCAAATGCAGAAAAACCTAAATTATCAGGAAAGTTTGAGAAATCTGATGCTCAAATTAGCATTGAATCAACTAATTGTACCAATTTAGAAGATAATGGCCGTATTATTATTGAGTATGAAAGTCCAAATGATAATATGGAAATGACCGAAGCACTATCAGGTAAAATATTGTCAGATACCATTTATACTATTGATAATAATGGTTCTGAGCATATTAGTTACAGTTCAGATTATTCAGAGAATAGTATGGAATTCACAGAAGCACTAAAAGGAGGCCAAATTTTATCAGGGGATAATGGCTGTACTTCCTTAAGCTCTACTGAAATGTCTGAAACATTGGATGATGAAAGTGATGATGAATCAGTTAGTCAATTAGGTTTTAAACCTTCAACACCATTATCTGATGTGCTTATTAAAAATCCTTCAAATATAAGTTCAAGTTCTAGTTGCATGGAATTCACCTGTGCTAATGCTAAATCTAACCTATTCTATAATACTCAATCAAGTAATATGGAATTGACTGGACAAAATATGACACTTAAATCTTCAAAATCTATTTGGTCAAATGATGATTATAAATGTATGAGTATGGAGTTAACACAATTACCTGACAGGCAAACATTTGAAGATAATTGTGAATTGGTTTATGAATATAGTCAACATTCTGTAAGTATGGGATCAGATATATCCTGTGAAATTCAAGAAAAACAAAATCGTGAATTAGAAATTGGACAAGCTGAAAAATTGGACAAAAATAATCAAAATCATCAAACAATTGGATGTGTGTTAAACAATTCTGATAATAGAGAAGCTTTTATTGAAGAATTATCATCAAGTATGGTTTCAATGGATATTGATCCAACATTAGAAGGTAATGAATTTGATATTAGTTATGTAAATGTTGAAAACCCACTATTATTTGTGAACGAACAAAATCATTCAACAATACCAACGACAGGAATAGAAGATAATAGTATTCTTGAAAAAAGTGTGCTGGATAATTACTCAAATGTTATTGATATTACTAATCAAAATAGTGAATCTAGACTATCTATATTCCCTACAAGTTCATCATTTGTTGTAAATATGTCTCCAGAAAATAATCTAAACAAATATGTTGAAGTTGAAGAACTCCTACAACAAACACTACAAGGTCATACATCTGTGTTAGATGAAAATCAATATCTTGAAAATAATAAATCAATAGTTATTGAGAAACATCCACCAAAAAAATATTCAAGAAAAACAATGATTCACACATGTCCATTAATTGTTCAAGACAAAGCCTATGAAAATGAAGATATACCTGGAACAGTCAATAGTAATCAACAAAAATCAACTGCCATGTCTACTTTTAATCAAACTCAGTCTCTTGAAACTGAAAACTTATCAGATACATCTGGAATAATCCAAGAAAATCATCAAAATAAATATTCTAGAAAATCTGTAGCTCCTACATCTGTTTTTAATGAGGATGTATTGGATACATCTGAAACACTTGAAGAAAACCAGCAGCAAAAGTGTTCTTTACAATCAATTGCCATGTCTGCTTTTAATCAAACTCATTCTCTTGAAACTGAAAACTTATCAGATACATCTGGAATAATCCAAGAAAATCATCAAAATAAATATTCTAGAAAATCTGTAGCTCCTACATCTGTTTTTAATGAGGATGTATTGGATACATCTGAAACACTTGAAGAAAACCATCGGCAAAAGGGTACTCTACAATCAATGGCCATGTCTGCTTTTAATCAAACTCATTCTCTCGAAACTGAAAACTTATCAGATACATCTGGAATAATCCAAGAAAATCATCAAAATAAATATTCTAGAAAATCTGTAGCTCCTACATCTGTTTTTAATGAGGATGTATTGGATACATCTGAAACACTTGAAGAAAACCAGCAGTGTTCTTTACAATCAACTGCCATGTCTACTTTTAATCAAACTCAGTCTCTTGAAACTGAAAACTTATCAGATACATCTGGAATAGTCAAAGAAAATCATCAAAATAAATATTCTAGAAAATCTGTAGCTCCTACATCTGTTTTTAATGAGGATGTATTGGATACATCTAAAACACTTGAAGAAAACCAGCAGCAAAAGTGTTCTTTACAATCAATTGCCATGTCTGCTTTTAATCAAACTCATTCTCTTGAAACTGAAAACTTATCAGATACATCTGGAATAATCCAAGAAAATCATAAAAATAAATATTCTAGAAAATCTGTAGCTCCTACATCTGTTTTTAATGAGGATGTATTGGATACATCTGAAACACTTGAAGAAAACCATCAGCAAAAGTGTTCTTTACAATCAATTGGCATGTCTGCTCTTAATCAAAATCAGTCTCTCGAAACTGAGGATGTACCAAATACATCTGTATATAATCTAACTAAATTAGCGGAAAAATGTGACACATCTGAGTGTAGTTCAACTCAGTCTACTGATAAAGAAGAAATATCTTTATATAATTCAACTCAGTCTGCCGAAAAAGGTGAAAAATCTATATATAATTCAACTCAGTCAGATACATCTGTCAATGTTGAAGAAGTTGAGCTAAAAAGATATTCTAGAAAATCAATTGGTCCAGCTTCTTTAGTATTTACTCATAGTGAATCTCTAGATAATAGTATCTCGAATAATTCATTTGACATTGAAGAAAGTTATGAACCAAAATCTGAAAAGGGAACGAGTCCTGTGATTTCAGTATCTGTTAATAATCTGTCTATACTACAATCAGATGTATCTAACCAATATGAAGAAAATTTAATTCCAAAAAGCAAACACCAATCTGTATTGCTTAATATAGTTAGTGATGATAACTTAAATTCACCTTTCAGGAAAAAACCAAAAAAATCTATAGTTCCGACACAATTAGCAAGACCACCTGTTGAAGATCCATGTATAAAAAATGAATTGGAAACTATTGATGATAATATTTCAGAGAATTTTGAAAATGTTAGTAAAATGGATATATCAATGGATATATCGATTGAACATGAATATAAAAGTGATAATGAACTTTTAGTTGTTTCAAAAGAAGGTGAAGAACTTAATAAACTTATTGTACATGGCAATATGTTAGAAACAAATGAAGAAAATTTTGTTATGACGCCTAATGAATTAGAAATAAACAAAACAAATTTAAATGAATTATTCAAAGAGCATGACATTTTTGAAGAAAATGAAAAAAAAAATGAAGAAAACAGTAAAAACGACTCTATTAAAGTAACTGACAATAATATAGTGAACAATCATACTTTAAACTCAGATTATCATTCATCTAGTTGTAGTGTAGATAAAACTACAAAATCGGATGAAACGTTTCAAAACAATGAAAAATCATGTCTGGTAAATCGAAAAAGAAGTTACAGCAATAGAGATTGTGTACCTTTATCTTGTTCTTCATTTACGTCTAAACCTAATATTCACAATAATATGGAAGAAGATTTAAACACGGAAGATATTATACAACAAAGTCCTATTAAAAATGATATTAATAACATGAGCTTAGATAATGAACAATTGGCAATAGGTAATGAACTTGAAGTAGAATTGATTAAAAAAGAATCCATTAAAGAAAGTTTGTGTAATGAATGTTTAGAATTTTTGACAAGATGGAATGAGCAATTTACTGAAAAAAAATTAGCTCTTGATAAGTGCACAAACAGAGAATGGATTTTTAATTTATTAGATAGTAATATAATTTTAACAGTAACATATTCGTATATTTCTAATAACTATTCATTGCTTAAAGTGGAGGATATATCATTCACCACAAAGACCATTCCCAAAAATGAAATAATAAAATTTGGAATAAATTGGATCTTATCAAAATACAACCCAAAGGTGTACAGGCAAATATGTTTTACTTCAAGAGATGTAGAACTATTATTAAAATCTTTATTAGAAGATGTTGACTTTATTAATAAAGTAATGAAAAATATGTCTTATGTGAGCGATTTATATTGTGTTACATTTAAAGATAATAAGGCTCAATTTGTAATACATAACATGAAATGCCTATTGATGGTTCGTATTGAGATAACATTATCTAATGTTCATAAGCTTTCTTTTAAAGATCTTTCAGTTGATTGTTTATTTGGTAACTTCGATACAAAATTATTGGAAGAAATTATGGAAGATATAATAAAGGATTGTAATGTTTTGCAAACTTTAATAGAAAAATTATTTAAACTCTACTCGCACAAAATAAATTGATTTGATCATACATTTTAAAATTATTTAGTATAATCTTATGTATTTTAATAAAAACAACAATAGCATCTTAATACCTTGTGTGTTGATGATCTTATATGTTTTAAGTTTGTATGTATGTATATTTATACTATGATAAAATATTTTTTTTTATGTTCAGTAACACATGTACATACTACACATCTTATAAACACTGTTATTAATATATAGCTAGTAAGTAAACTATTAAGTATGTTTATTAATACCATGAAAATGTTACCACACTAGTGAGTTTTAAATCCTTTATGAATTATTGTATTCATGTGTATTGTGTTCATCTTTTAAACTGAGAAAATAAGTATTCCAAAATGTTAAAAGTTGTTTAATACCTTATTAAATATTAGTATATATTTAAGAATTTAAAATTGTTTTATTGATTTCATAAAGTTGGTTAAAAAATTATATTTACCTAATTAATTATATTTCATAATATTATACTTAGGTAATTTTTTGATTTGGATTTATTATGTACCTTATCTGAGCATTTTTTATGGAATATTTAACTGATTTCCCACCACTATGTTATTTTATCTTCAACTGACTTGGTGTTCTTGAAAATAAAATGAACTATTATTATAATTATTTTTAAAGACTTACTTTAAATTGGTAATTAATGTTAAGTGATTAAATTAAATGTACTTCTTTAATACAATAAATTTAAAACAAGACAAATGTATTTTAATCTATATTTATCGTTGATGTACTTGTATGTTATTAAAATTTAGATGAAATAATTACATAATTGTATTCTAATTATATTAAGTATAATATTGTTTTATGTCATTAATATTAATAAAATACCAATCGTTATATTTGGCATTTCTAATAATTTGTAGTAATTATTAGTAATTACCTAGTACTTTCAGTTTAATGTTTATAAAATATAGGTTCCTAATATAGTTAGTAATACTGAACACGTTTGATATTATTTGTGGTATGAAGAAAAAAAAATTACATACTACTCAACAGTTTATTTACATCGCATGTACAAAAAAAATATACGATACAATACACAAAATCGGAACTGTTTCATCATTATTATAAGTATTTAATTTTTAATTCTCTAAGTAATTGAAAAAAAAAGTACACATAACAAACTTTGTTTTTTAAGTTTGCACCATCAATTTATATGATTTATAACATAATTAATGTATAATCTCTTAAAGGGATTTTTAGAAAACATACATTTAATATACATATATAATATATTCATAGGTATATATATATTAATATGTAGATATAATTTAGAATAATAGTATGCTAGGTATTACGAGTAAAATAAAACTATTTGTGCTGATTTTGTCCAACTAATAAACATAGCATAAAAATCGAAAAAGTAACGACCATAAGTAGTATAAACATAATGTAATGGATACAAGAGTTAATACTTAATAGGATACAATTATTATTATACAAATACAAATAAAATATTGTAATAGGTGGGTATTAATATAATATATATACCTACTATTGGATTACTCAGTTGAAAATAAAATTACTAAATTGTTACATAATATTTATTTTGTAAGATAATTGGCAGCGATATTATTTCCCATACAGTTTGTGGAAAAAAGTATAATACTTCAAGTTTTTATTAAAAAATATTTTTATTCTATAGATCTTAGATTAGGTTTATTTTAGTAGTGACTGAGAAGACAACTGTGTGACAGTTGAGTTGATAAATTGTGTTTGTTGTATTCTATCTGAATCTACTTATGATGTGCTGCTGGAGTGCGAACATTGAGTAGTTCGTCATCGGTGTTTATACAACTATTATAGTAGGTTGATAAAAATGAAAAATTTTTAAATGGACGTGAAACATTGCACTGTTTTCAACCCTTTTCAAATTAAAAAAATTACTAAATAATTGTAATGCCTTCTACGTATAATATTTAGAAAAAAAATTCATTAAATTAATTTGGCCTAAGCACATTAAGGCACATTTAACTTTCATGGGTTTTAAAATAAACTTTTTACACAGCAAATAAATGAAATTTAAATGCATTAATAAATTATAATAATACTTGTTTTAATAATAACAAATTGAAATGTAAAAGTTAAAGATAACTCAAGGCACTTCTAATTAAGTTTTAAAAAAAAGTTAATGAAAATGTAAACAATAACAGGGGTATAAATTTAAGTATATATTATATAGGTATATTATATATAACATAGCTATATAATATGAATTTCAATATTTTATTATTTATTTTTTTTTTAAGAAAACGTGAAATATCATAAAGCTTATAGTTCCTAACGTAAGTATGTTACTCAAAATTTAACACTTAACGCTCATTGAATATATTTAAAATTATTTTAATAATAATAAACTATAATAATATAATAGCAATATATATATAATATTTAAGTTATAATTACGGATTTGGTCCTGATTCAAAATGTCCCCTTTTGTTTTCGTGAACCCTTATAAAAACTTGCGAATATTGTAAAATCACTTATCGGATTGCCAGCGAGTCGTTGAGATTTATTAGAAAATAATATAATCTATGCTCAAACCTATTAAACACTATGATATGTATTTCGTTGAAATTTTAAATACAGTGATTCAATTTCATTTTAACTCCATTAAATTATAGTCAATGCAAGTATCTCATTATACAATGTGGTGTATATTATACGAGTACATAAGTACCTATATAGTATATACTATGCAATTTCTGTGAGCTAATTTTTTTTTACTTACCTAATTATACCGGAACACTAGAACGAATAGAAAAAAATAAACAAATGGGTGACAAAAAAAAGATAAACTATAATTTTAATTTCACTTGAAACTTAGTTATAATCTAAAACAATATTATTTAAAAATAAAATGTACGTTAACCATGGGGATTTGGTGCACGTTCCTTAAACTTTGTGTTTGTTGTAATGTGTATAAAATGTTTGCAATTTATTCGTTCATTCAAGAGTTATCGCTTGGACACCATTTATATTATTATGTATAGTCAAATTATATTTTATTCCAAATTGTTAATTCTTAAAACATTTAGAAGCTCTACCGAATATATTATTATATATTTTATGAATGATTATTATTTAATTATTAATTTATATATTTTATATTAATATTATTTAATATTGTTATAAAGATTTTATTGGTTATTTAGAATCGATTTTCGTAGAAAAATATAATAATGTACGTTACGCGCAATTATTCTAAAGCGATAAAATACCTACCTATAAAGACATTTAATAATATAATTACATTTTAATATTTAATTTTATAAATTTATAAATTTTAACAATATTAAAAAAAAATTAAAATCAAAATAAAAGCCATTTCGGCGTATACAATTCTACATATCTCGTTGAACGTGACCTATGCGTAAATTTTAAAATCCACTTGTATATTCTGAGCAATTCTTACTAATTTCTAGTAGAAATAACAAAGTATTTTTTTGTGTTTAACATTAATTAATTCTACTTAAGTATTTTAACAATAATAATATATTATTATATTAACGTCGACATAAGTTGTACGTAGACGATTTTGAATAGTTTTTCCAGTCGTTCGGCTGATTTCAAAATGAACGCTGACATATTTTTGTTCCTAGAAATATACAAAAACGTAGGTATTAAATAATTATCTTTTGTGCATCGGGGTCAGGTGGTCGGTCGAGTAACGATAACAAACTTAATTATATTAATTATAAATATAAATATAAATAGCGGAAGTAAGTTGTAGATAAAATGTAAGGAGTATGTATATGTATGGGTGTAAGTATGTAACTTGAAGACCCGACAAGTGAAATAACTTTTGTTGCATTCAATGTTTTTAAATTTTTTTTTGTATTTATTTACATACGCTTGCGTTACACGTATAGTACCTACCTATAATATTTTTTATTTTTATTTTTCAATACTGAAAATAAAAAATTTAAATCTGATCTAATATTTTTTTTTTTAAATTAAAAATAGCCAATTTGTAAATCTGATTTTTAGAAAAATGTCGATTGTCAAAATATTTAGTTAAGTCAAGTAGTTTATTTTTTTACAATTTTTAGAAATCTCATTATTTTTGATAAGCAAAATTGATCCAGTCGTAAAAACATTTTAAATTCAAAAAGTATAAACTATTTTTAAATATTTTTTGTGCATTTTTAAATAGGTACCTAGGTAGATACTTGTTAAAATTAGGTACTTCAAAAAATCATAAAATCAACCATTTGACTAGATAAATGTTTTTCAATCAAAAGTTTTTTAGAAACCAGATTTAAAAATTGGCTTTTCTGAAATTTTGAATATAAATTTAAACAGATTTAATTTTTTTTTAAATAAAATAAAAAATGTTATATTTTACGTATACGGTACCTATACCTAGCGCCAATAAATTATAACAATATTGATTAGAAGAAAAGTTTTTTATTTGTCAGGTCTTCCTGTTACATCCTGTTTCTGTTCATCATATAGGTATGATATACTTATACGTTATACCTAGGCAGGTGCTAATTAATAAAAATAAGTGTATCTATAATTATGATCATATCTTTTTTTATTCTTATTTTTCCTTGTGTTATAGTCTCATGGGGTTTACACAATACTTACCCCCATGCAATATCATTTGGGGCATACCTAGTCGGATAGATGATCGTTTTCAACCAACATTTAGGTAACGCTCTTTTTTTAGCCAAACCCGAAAGTTTAATATTTACCTAATTTGTTATACATGTAGAAAACTATTAAAAATATAATAATATAATACTAACATTATTATTTATTTTTAACGTACATAACAAAAAAATCTACGTTTTTTTTTTGGGGGGGGGGGGTCATATTATGTATTGAAATATATAAATATAAATAATATAATAAACAAAATAGAGTGTATGGAATAAAATTCAACATGACATCAATATTAATAAATAGATAAACTAATAAAATAAATTAAGATAAATATTACAAACATTAAGTCAACAATGATAAATTATAATAATAAAAACTATAAAGAATTAGCAAGATCTATAGACTAGCTTGGAGATGTATGGAACTATAAATTATTGTCCAGGTTATAGATACGCAATCTCTACATCCCTATGACCCTATTAGCTGAGTGAATATAATTTGGAGTGCCTTTGAATGCGCTAATCCGGCATTCGGTCGCTGTATAGGTCCCTTCTTTGTGATTTTTATCCAAAGTCACAAACAATCTCTTATATTATATTATATATCTTTACAGTTTTCTGGCATTATTAAAAGTTGATACAAAAATCGGAGTTTAATATGACCTGAACACCGTAAAGTTACTAGCAAGTAGGTAGTAGATTTTTGTAAAAATGTAAAGTGGTATAATATGGTATACTTAATTCGTTTTGACGTACCTAAAACATACTTCAAAATGAATAAAAAAATTCAAAAACCTACTAAGAAAATAAACGTTTTAACGTTATAAGTTAAGCATGGCTACCCACTTGCCCATTAAATCGCGTGATAATGTGATGAAAAAAAAATTAAAACGAGAATATGTTTTTACTCCGCTCCGGAGTCAACATCGGGAAAATCGTATTTTAGATTAAGCCGCGTTTTGGCGTGTGTAACGGAAAAACCTCCATGATAAACACAATATTTTCTATCTTGTGGAACAGTTTAAAAATATTTTTGGGTTAGCGATATTATATTATATACACACTATAATAGTGTGCGTATGACTACAACGTTCGAAGATTGAGATAAATAGAGTTTGGTCGAATGCCAGAGGAAAAGTTTATGATTTGGTCATAATACATGTGACGTACGTGACGAGATTGTACTGGAAAACTGAGAAAAACGGCGGTGTGGCGCGTCGCTGTTGAAAATTATTAGTGTGGCACAGCGAGCTTAACATAACTATACGTTTTTATTCGCATTTTATTTTTTTATCTCATTATATTGTCCTATTTTTTGATTATTTTCAGGACACTCGAATAAAAAACGAGACGGTTGTAAGCTCCCCATATTACGTAGGCTGCAGGTATATAGGTAGGTACATAATAAAAAGTAAGTGCGTATGTTCATCCATATAACATTGTATTCTCGTCCTTATTGTTGTTGGATTATACTATTTCCATATTTTAAATCAAAAAAGAAACGAAATAAATAAGAGATGGGAAATATTATGTATTCCGCTCTTTACGTGGTAGGTACCTACCTAATCATTATTTATTATACTCCTTTAAAATTCATTAATTGTCAACAAAAAAGTAAATTAGTTCGTTTAGGTTGGTCGTTTTTCTGATAGGTATCTAACCTAACCTACCTACCGGCTACATGTAATATGCTATAACTACCATCCAGGTATATGATATCTTACTTAAAATTAGTGTCTAGATATTAGAAACGAATAAAGCAGATATAGGAGTAGGGATATATTTTGTTTCCTTTAATACCTATACGAAGACTGTAAAACCTTTCTGAACTATTATTTTTATTTTTATTTTCCAACGAATAGAAATACGTGGGCTAAAGGTGTTTTGTTTGGACTGCTGTTAGACATTCTTCCCTATACCCACGGTATATATACTTCTTCCCTTAACAACCAACATTTCTAGGGTCGGCGTGGAGTGGATACAGTCCGACCGTATAATAATAATATAGGTAGACCTAATTAAAAAGTAAACAAGACCGTGCATCTACCTTCATTTTAAATAGGACGGGTTGAAAAAAGAAAAATTAATTAATAATTAAAAATAGAAATTTACCTTGTTATGCGCTCGGTGAGATATAGGTACAAAGACCGTTTTTTTTTGTTTTATAGCGTTTTGAAAAAGCAACTATTATATGATAATAAAGGAGATGGAGCTTCTTTGCTGCAGGACGCAGGTGTAAATATAACGGCGGATGATTTAATTATTTGAAAAAGCACCTTATTGTGTATGTATATATATATGTGTATACGAAATTATAATATTCAATGTGCAGCGTCGTAGGTAGGCAGACAGTATAATATTAAGAATAATTTACTATTTAGAATATAGTGGTTTAAAAAAACCATATTTTCAGTAATCAGTAGGAATAGGTACCTACGTCCTTAGATCATGTCTTGTTATTATATGATAACACGTACCCTTAGTAAATTATCTAAGGGTACGTCCTACCTATCATGTCTTGTTATTTGGTTATTTGCTTATGCAGGGATATTGCAGTACATAGATATAAATAATTAATAACTAACCAGTGTGGCGTGACCTATACGAACGAAGCAATTATATTTCGGTAATACCCATAAATAATAATCAGGTTTAAAAAAAAAAAAAATACGGTTGAACACAATTTATCCGTATTTTAAGGTCGGCAAAATGGAATGGATTTAAATAACATCGCCATATTATACGTTTGTCGATAAATGACTGCATGTAATATGTAATTTGATTATAAATACGTTATTCTATTTGGCCGGCCTGCAGCAGCGCTGTTACTGCAGTTGGTTTCTATGTTTGATAGTATATAGGTAGGTATCTATATAATATAATATATATTGGAATCGCATTTATCCTTATGAATAATGGGAAACTGTCATGTTTAAAAGCACTGCACTACCCCATGTAGAATGTAGATATATATATATATAATGGATTTATAGCGACGGACCGAAATTAATTACAAACGCGCGTGCGTCTGTGTTATTAAATTCGAGCGATTCCGGATAATAACCATTTTATACCCACTGTTGCAGAACACTCGCATGGTATAGTGCTCTGCAAAGAGTGCAAAGACGCGCGACGCGAATTCGGTTATTCACAACTCCCGCCCACTCACGCATTAAAATTATTGATTTTAAGACTAGGTTTTTCTCTCTTTCCGAGTGTAACAGATTCCTCGGCGTACCTACGGTAAATACTCTCGGTTTCTTTCTTACGAAAAGCTCAATGGCACGCCGTAGGTATATATACGAGGTGTCAAGGTAGGCGGTACTTATGCAATATACCATTACGGCATTATAATAAAACCCAGAGGCACAGCGGAGATAGCAAAAGCTAAGGTCGATAACGAGAACGGTCTTATTTTACGATACGGTGGGGCGAGATTAAACACTTTTAGGAGACGCCGGTAATCGATATACCTTTGATAAAGGCAGTGTAGTAGCGGGAAATGTATACACCTACCTACCTATTCTATACGTACGGATGCATATCATAATAATACATAGGTATATGGGTAGGTAATGACGGACGGGGTGGGAATTATAATAGATATTATGATTCCAGCGTTAAATTCGAATTTTTTACTTTCTCACCGTTATATTTCGCCATGAAATACAATTCACGGCCTCCAGTGTATAACAATGTCATAATATAATCGTTTGATTCAGGAACTATAGAAATAACAAGTTATAATTTTTAAATATTTTTCTAATGCTAATTTTCTATAGAAGTTTAGATTAGTTTTATTATTTTGACACTGATTTTAGTAGGTATTCTATTGCTTTTATAATATTAAAATATTATCATATATTATGTAAGTCCAAAACAATGAATACAATAATGTACAGTTTTAAAAACAAAAAAATTCACAAAAAACTGAAAATAATATAAAAATAAATCACTAGGTTAGGTACTTGGGTTTATCAATTCGATTTATTAACAAAAAGTTACGAATAAGAAACGATTAAAATGTAAAATATTAAATAACTAAGTAAAGTAGGTAGGTAGGTATCTAACTAGTAATAAATGTTTAGTGTATTTGTAAACAGGTTATAATACCTATTACAAAATTTAAATTAAAAATATGTTTATAATATAATATCTATATAACGGCTATCACCTATTACACAGGGGCGGCGTGAAATTTTTTTGGTATGAAGCAATTAAGTACCTACCTTGAATAAGTACGTTAAATAAGTACCCAATTTGTTCACATTTTACACTTATTTTTTTCACAAATTTTTAACGCAGGTTGTATGTGATTATGCAAGTATTATTTATTAACTAGCCTTCTAGGTATTGGAGACTGGATCCAGTCATTGGGATACCAACCTCCACTTTTGCATGAGGCGGGTGCCTCATAAAATAGCTATTCACACAGCCACTGCTATATTACCCACAGTATTGGTTAACCACTATTGGGAAACCATGTAATATGCATTCAGTGTAATAATTAATGGCAAACACAGTTTTGAAATGCATGTGCACAATTATACATAGGTACCTATTTAGTTATGTGGTCAACAAATTCAGACTAGAAACGTTTTACCGGACGCGACCTGATCATCGACAATTATTTATATGATATTAAGTGCGCATAACAATAATTACCGATGGGCGGCGGTCGGGCGTGGGCTCAGCTGGACGGCTGGATGGGCTCGGGCACTAAATGAGGCGTCCGGCTGCTGATGGGTGGCAATATGGGACTGGTGGGCCAGTGGTAATGTGACGCGCCGCCGGCACCGGTTGGCGGCACACTTCGCGAGTGCGACATGACCGTCGACCCGTTGCCCATGGCCAACATCATGCCGGGGGCGCCCGACGACGACGGGAACATCAGCGGGTTGCCTCCGACGCCGGTCATGCTGCCCGCCGGCGACGAGACGGACGGTTGCATCAGGCCGCCGGTGGCCACCGCGGCCGCCGATTCCGGGTGCAGGAAGTTGCGCCTGGACTCTGTCGTCGACGACAGGTTGTTGGTGTTCTGCAGGTTCTGCTGGTTCTGCGCTATGCACCGGGTCAGGATCTCCGGCAACAGCTCCAGCTGCACAGACAAGTCACGCTCATTATTATTTGTGGATTATCGGACCGACGCGCGCACGTCACACAGATTCCACACGGATTTCAACCCTCCACCGACACCATTCACCTTCTATTTCGTAATCTTTAGCAATTTACGGACAAGTATTTTTCGAACACCACTAAATAATTGGCCGACAGTGTAAAAAAACAAGGGTACCCCGCATAATGTTGTTCTACCACTCCGCTCATCAGTTCATCGCACCTTTAAATAATTCTCACAAAGTCATAAGTTATAATAGTTATATAAGTAATTAATAATAAAATAATTAATTAATAAAATATTGAATTTTTATTTATTGACATTTTCAAAAACATATTCTACTCCTGCGAATATGAAATCAAAAAGACATCCTGTGATTTAAAAAAAGAAAAAACTTATAATGATAAAAATAGAATTTGAATGTAAATTTAATGAATTAAAAATATTATGTCAAAATAAATTATCAAAAATTGTAATACTTTTCTAGAAAATAAGGATTTACCTTTAAAATAATCATCTTGATTAGTTATAGATGGTACTGAATATTATGTTTTTAAAATTAAAACCTTGTATGGGAATTGGACAGACATTCTTTCATACATTAGTTATTTGTATAATCTATGCCTATGAATGTCAACAATTGACTGTTTTTGCGTGTTTATGACATTTTAATGGTGCCTAGTTGATGTAGTGTATTAGTTTATGAATAGGTATTATAAAGACATCAAATACGAAAATAAATTTATTGCCGGAGAATTTAATACTTTATATTTTTAATTTTTGTAGGTCATGACGATAATAAATTTATTGAAAGAGTTTAAAGTTTAAGCAATGACTAAAATGTATGTATACAAATATCAATGAAAATATAGTAAAAACGCAGAAACCCGCTTTGGTGCATCTGTCGATCGTTAACAATTAATAACAATAATAATTTCCTTAAATATGAATATTGTGTCGGCATATCTATTGTATTTTGTCACCGGGAATAAAACTGATTTATTGACAGAAAGTTGATTGGACGGAGACTTCAGAGAAAGCGGAGCTTATGTCCACATTTGTCAGTTCGGATGACACACTATTGTAAGTACAATTTTACCTACACCGGCTACACGCTATTTTAGTTCCTCACACACCCCCACTCTAACGCTCAACACCCCCTACAAAAACAGCTTCAGATATCAAGAGTGGGATCGGATGTGCGAGACACGCATACGAATGTTATCGTTTCGATTAGGTACTCGACAAATTTAATTTGAAACGCCGTCGAACTAAACGATGTAGTATTTGGGTAGGTAAATATTCGTATAGTGTTATTATGACTAAATTACGAATGATAACAGTACCTACTTACGTAGTTCTGATTCGGTCAGGCTTTTCGGTGTACAGTTCACACTGATAAATCACTTAAGATGTGTCACGAGTGTCATGATTAGGATTTTTTTTGAATATTATAGAAATAAAATAAAATCGGGAAAAAGACATTCAGCCGTTATCCATATTTTTTCACTCCGTGTAAACCGTTATACGTTAAGCGTTGTAAATTTAGATAAGGTTCAATCACTCGAATATGTGTAGTCAAGTGGAATTTTTCTGACATTTGGCAAGCGTTTATAAACGGCTTTATAATAGGCTTTTATTATTATTATTATTATTATTATTATTATTTTTTAAAGATTTATCCAAAAAAAGTCCACTTGGTTGGAAGTCATTAGCAAACTTTTTTTTGGAAAATAACTATTTAATTTTCGCAATCTTGATAAAAAAAAATGTTAATTTTGACCTAATTACTTGGCAGTGTAGAGACCAATAAGATATTCTGTGCTAAACCGTAAAACAATAATTGCTTGTTAAAGAATAATGTTGATGTAAATAAAGGTGAATGTACAAACTCAGAATAATATAAAAATTGTACCTAACAATATATGTATTGTAATTATATAATATTCAGATTAATTGAAATAATTGTTTATAAATTATAATGTAAAACTATAGTTATATTTATAAATCTCAAATATGTCAGGAAATTAATCAAAGTTTCAATTACATAACAATATAATTTGGTGTAACACCGTGTTATGTAACTGTAGTTGTATAACTCGATTGAAATATATTGAATTTATTCGGTCATGTAAAATAATTTACGGGATTGATAGCTGTATAATTTAATTATACATGGTTCATTTAGACTTCAAATTGTTTTTTTTATATTATGTTTGATTAAATTCCTTTATTCTTAGTTATAATAACAAAACAAAATAATTTCAACTAAATGTGACTGTACCTAGCCTCTAGAAGGTAGAAGAAATAATTTGAAGTAAATAAATCTTTAAGTGCCGTACCGACGGAGAATTATTTTTTATTGTAATTGATTTAAAAATAAAATGTTTAATATTCCGAACACGATATTGCACGTATACCGTATAATAAATGTATAAACTGATAGTATTTTATAGAATCCCAACTGGGAATGACATTAATATGATATAGCAATAAACAATATGAAATTATATTATTTACCTGTTCTTGTAAGGCTACCAGCTTATCTTCGAGATTCACCAAACGTTCTTCAAACGCATCGTATCGATTACTCATGTCGGATACAATTTCATAAACCGTATTCTGCGTCTAAAAATATATCAATCATTATCCTCCATATTTATTGGTACGGGAGCAGGTAATTTCTGTTACTCACTTTGGCCATGTCTGTTATTGTATTTGCGTTGTCCATTAATTTTCTTTGGTCCATTTTCACTTTTCTCAACCTGAGGTAAACACGAAAATATTTATCTCAAACTAAAAACATAACACCCGAGTTTTATACCGTCCAATGGTGGATATATCGAGTATTATCTTTCAAACTGTCTACTTGAAAAATGTTCGTATTCGGTTGGAATACGATTGTTGATAAAATAAAAACTCTTGTTATCCCCTCGAGGGCAGTGCGGTTGTTTTAATTGAAGAGTTTAATTGAAAAGGGTTTGTGTACGTCATGTAGTTGTTCATCAGGAAATTACTAGTATTTAATTATCACAAGCGCGTCGAGTTGGAGCAACTTATTATTTTCTATTCAACTCGGTAAAGTCGCGAAAAAGAAATGCATTTGAATAATATGCTGTGTGCTACAAACACAATAATAAAATGTTTAGAGACTAAATATAATTGTATTTGAACAATAGGTATAACGATGGTCATTTTATGATTGCTTTTAAGTCGTTTAAGTCGGTAATAGTTTTTCTGCCGAAAATTTCTTTTGACTACCGATAAACGTTTCGGGTAATATTGAGTTTTTATAAACTTACGCGTATATGGCCAACAAGAATTTTCGTTGGTGTGTTCGAACCCTGCCTGCATTCACCCTTTTCACCAGTCTAGTGTGTTTGTAGATCAGCCACGTCTCCCTGAGGACGTTGGCCGCAGCGTTTTTCAGCTGAAAGAGAAATATATTTCTAATGAAAAAAAACTCATCCACAATAATAGTATACAGATTATTCAATATTGTACTCGTTTTGTAAGTTGAGTGTCCATCATGAAATTATGGACGTGTTTCTCTGCCCTAGAGAGTTCCATCTTTCGTGACACAACAGCTACTAGAAGAGCTGTGCACCCGGCACCCTGGAAACACCATTTAAATCATAGTTATTTGAGATCATCATTGGTGGTCAAAATAAAATCGGAGGAAAAATTTTAAAGGAGAAAAACAACACTACATTATAGTTAGTATAGTTGTCTATTTATTGTGTTTGATGATCAAAGCCAACATAAATTTGTTCATGCAAAGTTATTAATATAAGTTTGTGTGGAAGTTTGTTTTATAAATGATTGATGATGGTTAAAGAATAACAAAAACCGTAAGTGGGGTACATTTTTTAAAAATATTTTTTGTTTGGAACGACGATGATGATGTTATGATAGTAATAATAATAATAATGATAGTATAATATATTATAATATAATAGCTCTATTCATGCAATTTAAAAGGCTTTATGTACTAGTAGAAATTAATGCTTATTTTTATAATTTAATTAATTAGTTAAATTTATTAAAAGCGTAGTGTTTAACTCTTTTGTTTAACTCTGATTGACAGTAAGGACTAGGTAACTGATGTTATCGGAAAAGTCCATTGGTGCGATCCAATTTTCGATGTCACAGTAATTGCCGGCCCACTGCTCGGTCGACGTTTAAACAAAATATGTTATTTTTTTCTTTCATTCATCCACGTAGAATTAAAATATTATTAGTGTTGGCATTTGGCAAAATAATTGGGACCGTGGAAAATTAAAGCATGTTCCATTATAATATCAATGTGTATTTGGAGTCGTTGTACTACAGTTACAGATGTGCTCCAACTCATCGAATACATTTCGGTGTTTCGTGTTTGGATGTACACTATATCAACCTCTAAACATTAAGTATTCTTGTAGAAAATAATCGAGTGCACTTTTTTTAATTTATACAAATCAACAAGCGTTTGAATGCCCACTTAAACCGTATATTATTATGTTCATGCAATATTAAACAAAGAAGTTCCTGTACAGTTAAAAATAAAATAATATTACAACGTGCATCCCGGGTTAGTGAAAAATCGAAAAATTATTTACACATTATTATGATTGTAGTGGAGTTTTCGGTTTGTTTTAAAGCCCATGTTTTATTTTCTTGAAACGTGAATGAGGCAAAATAGTGTTAGACAAAGCGTGATACATTTGACATTGCATGGCGATTAGATATGTTTAGTGTTCACATAAAAAATATACAAAAATAGTTCATACTATCCTGTTTATTTTTATTTTTAAATTAATCAGTTATTATAATATAATACACAGTACACACATTATCTAACAACTAACTATAATATTATAGTGGCATGTATTTTCGAATTAAATGGGGCTTGCATAATAATATTCGTACGCAGTGCATCGAGACACCACATTTGCCTACTCAGGACGCCGTGTCAGCGACTGTAGTATATTATTATATATTTTTTTGTTGGTAGTTATATTATGGTGTCTATACCTAAATCTAAGACAGTGCGTCTATATATGTAGAAGTGTCTAATTTCTAAGTAATAATAATAATAATAATAAATAATTGCAACACAATTGTACAATATCACTTGTGATTTTCACAACGGTATCAACAATGTTATACATCAATTACGAAATATCTATAATATTATTGTATCTAAAGCGCTATTGAAACTACTGTACAAGGGGCTTTATATATTTATAAAGCACTTCTACGCGCTTTGCATGGTGTTCGGAATGTTCAAGTAAGACACTTGGAATTTGCATCATATGAGCGGTCCTTAAAATAATTGCTTTGAAACGCTTTTACGTGTAATTATTATTATTGTTATATCAAAGGGATTCATATAAAACCATGTTTGATGCGAGAGGAAGAATGCAGAGTTGGAAAACAAAGTATAATATGTATAATGTTTATATATATTTACATACAGGATGGTTTTCTGTAGGTAAAATATGGCATTTCTCGAATATATTTATAATTTTTATTTAGCATACAATTTTCAGAAAATGTTAACAAAAACGCTACTTTTTCATTAAATTATATTAATAATTTTTTATCTTCCCCTCATTTTTTAAAATAGTATCAACTTTCAGATTTTAAATGGCATCGTATAATTTTAAAAGATTGGAAGTCATTATATTTTTAAAAATGTCGATGTATATTAATCTAATATCAGACTCATTGCGTTTGCTATAATTATATAATTAAAAATTTATAATTAATAACCATTAACCAAAGTCAAATATCAGATAAATCATAAACGTATATAAATATTTTCAGAAAAATTATAAGTAAGTAGCATTAAAAGTAACCATAATTATACTTAACTATTAGGGGGCGTGTAACATTATTATAATAATTATGAAAATGTACAAAATATTTGTATGTCATTAAAAAATGTAGTAAATAAATACAATTTTAATATTATTTTATCTTACATTTTTCGCCATTAAATAGTATTCTTTTAGAGAGTGAAATAAACATATAATATATATAAATGTTTACAACCATATAGGTACACTAATCTATGTTTTTTGATTATATACATAGTTTAAACCAAAAAGTTTAATTTCTATGAATCCCTTAGACTCTGTATCATGTTTCCAATCAATTCATCTACTCTAAAATCTAAATCCATTTGGACATCGCTCAATCCTTCCTAAATTAATTTAATGCATTTTCCAAGCAAGCACGCTAGAAATGTTGGACGCTATCGGCTGGATAGACTTTTTGGTCACTAAATTTGAGGCCACTGGGATATTTGTTTGGTTGTTCTGGAGTCGGTCTTACCATTATGCCAGTGGTGACCGCAATGCCACGACCGCAGTAAGTGTTTGGCACTATGTCTCCGAAGCCCACGCTCAGGAACGTGATCGCTATGAACCACATGGAGTTCAGCAGGTTAGCGTGATCTTCATCATGAAACCTACAGAGCCCCAGACACAGTGTAGTATTGATCACAACCCAATCCCAGTAAAAAAATTAAATTATAAATTATAAATATTACAATATTTCTTATGAACCACGATTTATTATCTTTCTCCTATCGACTCCAAAAACACATCGATATGTACAGTTTCCGTATCGAAATTATTACTAGGATGCGTAAAAAAAGACAATAACACAATTTTAAACACGAGTTCATTCTCCATTCGTTTTTGACGCGTATGACAATACTGGTTGAAATACATTAAACGAAATTCATTGCTTCGGTTGTTTATCAGCCCCAGGGATTCCGAACTATGCGTTCTAACCCATTTATCCAATCACGATGACATTAAAAAAAAAAGTTTTGAAATATCAACACGAGTTCAGGAGTGCGTGTATTTTTATTTTGTAGAAGATCTATTGTGAAACGTGACTTATTTACTCGTCTTTGATGTGAAACTTCATCGTATTTCAGACAACACGAATTTGTCAGATATAGTATCTAGGACCCCTGATAAATAATGTAAAAACATGTATAGGGTGTCCTACTATTTTAAATACTTCTTAATGACAGTTTTTATTAATAAAAAACGATTACTATATGAGATGATAATATAAAAGAATATATGTTAAATAAGTTATACGACATTATGATGACATGTTAATTTCAAAGTAAAAACTGATACTTGGAAGTTATTAAATCCAAGATATTAGTGGACGTGCTAAACGTTCGTTAAGTTAATGTTTTATTATTCATATAAGTTTTGTACGTTAATTCTGGACGGATGAATGAAAAATTTACATTATAAAGTGTTTAACAAGTGTTCGGAATTCAATTACGCCCACACCCCCTGAAATAGAAACCATCTTTTAATATATTAAAAAAAATATTATTACTGGACACAAGTGTAGAACGTATGAAAGCTTTCAATTCAATTGGTTCCCAATGAATGTAAATAGCTTTTTAAAGCAAATAAAGTTCTAAAACTTTGTGTCGCGTCTACAAAGTTAGCAGAAGCTCGTGCCAGGACATAATTAATTTACGGCGGCGGCGGTGGCTATGGCAGTGTTGGTTGGGTGTGTCCCCTATTAAAATTGGTTTACGATCGTTATTATTCGAAATATAAGCTTAATCGAATTATGTGCGACGGGAAATTTGGGGTGGGAGGAGGGAAATTTAAAACGACTTTCCGGATTCGCTAACTACACGGAAAACACCATGTTGTACAGCGCTTAAACGAGTGTATAAACGCAATTCCAATTTTGTAAGCTCCAGAGTAAACAGTTCGCTTTTAATTGTTAAAGTTAATTACATTTTAATTTTCGTTTTTGTGTTGATGAAGAGTTTTGAAGTAATAATTCTCTCTCTCGGTCACGAGTAAGAGGTGGATTGGTGGTTGGTTATACTGTCAAAAGTAAAAGCACACGATGGCGCTGTGTTTGTAAATATGTGTCAATGTATTTGTGTACTCGGTGTGTGTATGTGTGTGTGTATGTGTATGGGGTGTGTGTGTGTGTAATTGTAGTGTGAGTGTGTATACACCCATACACATGTGTGCGCGTTTATTGTGTATTGTGTATGTGTTCGTCATTATTAATCTTACCATAATACCGCAGGAGAGCGTGATGCCTCGTCCGCAGTACGTGTTTGGTACAATGTCTCCGTAGCCTACACTGAGTAACGTGATGGCTATCAGCCACATCGAGTTCAAGTAATTGGCGTGGTCCTCGTCGTGGAACCTGCGTGCAATATACAATGTCCATACTACTGGTAGGACAGTAGCAGTGACGCTAGATTGCCTCTTCCGTTTACGCAATGATGCGTTCGATGATTATTATTATTATTTTTATTATTATTATTATTATTATTATTATTATTATTATTCTTATTATTATTTTGTATTTAACAAAATAAAATATCAAATCATTTAGTTGCAAAAAAAAAAAGATGATGAGTAATACTACTTTTCAAACATTTTATTATAGTGATTAATAACGAGCAAGAAATCCCGAGGAAGAAAAAATATTGAGGGAGAAATATATATATTTTTTTTATTGTTGTTATTTTTGTTCATTAATGTGTATTCGTTATTATTATTTACACCACGAACATCTCAATACAGACTAGGACTTAGGGGTTAATGGCGTATAAAAAAATGTACAAAACCGCTGGGAATTGTAAAATCTATCAACGATGCACGTGTCGAGTGTTATTTTCATATAAGAAAGCAACGGATGTGTTTCAACCTTATGTTGGATATCTATATTCTGCACATAATTATTACGTAGTGCTCACTAATACTAGTCATAGGTACCTAACTTGATTAAACAATCACTCAAACATACCAGCCCACTGTAAAAATACATCTAATTAACTCTTACAGAGATGTTTTCTTTAAGCAAAATTATTATATCAAATATTATATTATTTGGTGAAATTAGTGTTTATTTATTTTATAAGTAGATATTTTCAAGCAAATTTCCTGTGAAATTTCGGAGCAACATAGTTAAGGTTTTCCAGAAAGTTGTCTTATATTTGTGTTCACATTTTATTCTCACAATATTAAACACATTTTAATCATTTTTAAGGTTATAAACGTCATAATTTATAAGTTATACATGTATATCTAAATTAATACGAAATGTAATTTATGATATTATTTAACATTTTATAAATAATTAACGTATAATATTATATTAAAAAAAACCATCATACAGCCACAGCCAACGATACTAGGTAGTTGGTATGATAATTTTTTAGGAAAAACTTCTATTAAAGTCACCCTTTTCGTGTAAATTTGCGCATACTGTATAATATAATATATTATATTAGGCATGTTAATTACATGCCTAAGAACAGACACGTAGGTTACTATTGCGCATAGCGGATTTTCGAGTCGTTTTAAATTACTTTAATTTGTTTTGGATGCTAAGCTGGAACAATTATAATGCCATCGCCACCACGACTAGGTTTTACAACACCATTCATAATGACACTAATTTAGAATAGTGGATAAAAATGTTTCATTGGCATTTACTGCGTTTCTACCGCAGAGGTTCCTGATGAGGAATTTCACTGGGACGGTAATTGGATTGGTGGATTTAATTTGGACAAATTTATTACGCGAGAAACCACCGAAATTCGCTACCAGCTATAAAATATATATTATACATACGAGTGCACCTCGGTGGAATTTTAATGGAAATAAAATCGTTGGCGACAAGGGTTCGACGATAAATTTTCAGTGCAAAGTCGAAAGGGGCAACGGATAATATTCACGGTAGTGGTTTGTGGTAGCGGGGGAACAAAATTAACAACAGATAAACATTACTAACGAAAGTATAATCAAAATGATTATTCGTTTCCAAAAGTGAGTTTTGATTGCTGTTTTATGCGAGATTGCTCTCCCCCCATCAACCGGATCAGCCTGTATATTATTTTTGGTATTGTTATTTATTTTGTGGGTTCGCGCTGAGTGCATTTGTTTGTCTGGAAGAATAATTGCTCCCGGGAGTAATTTGAAATGGCTATGGATGAGGATATAAAATCGAACGGAAGGAAATAACCGGATATTAATTTATCAGACAAAAAAAAGCACAAATAACTTGAAGGAAATTGATAATTAAGATGAAAAGCAAAATGGGGTGTCCTAATGTAGTAATATTCTACTCTCTTTCTCTAGTACATAAAGAATCAACTAAGTGAAACAGAATTAAAAAAAAAAATAAAAACTCCGCCTCGTTATTCTTGCAGACTGTTTTCCATCTCAAGTATACTCGAGCTAGTATACTCGAGATCTGAAATGACGCGTCAAAATCACTCGAACTCAAAGTGTATATTATCGCGACGTTTGGAAAACAAAAACTTAAGTATGACTGTTTTCATGATCGTTAAAAATGTCATTCTTAGAAGGATTCGAAGATTGATGAAACTGCGTAACTGATAAAAATTAAGACGTTAGCTGATAAATGCCGGACATTAAATGTCTGCTAAGATGCTTAGAAAGTCATATACAACTTAACACGATTTATTACAGTGTAAAGGACTTACATTGTTTGTAAATATTTCCCCAACGTTTTTTTGAAGAAAAATTAATACCTAACTAAAATATTATTTAAAATTGTTATTTCATTAAAATTTGTTTTTATCATGTTCAATTTTATTAATTGTATTTTATATGTATTTCGATATTTAACTATGGGTTTATACAGATTTTTTTTATCATATGATTAAATTATTTTGAAATTAAAAGAAAACTGCAAACATTTGGTTTTTGGTGTCGAAATTTAATGTATTATTGTGAAGTTTAATTAGTATTATAATGGATTTATAGTTTATTTATTTGTAAGTGTTTTAAACTAAATTGAATATATTGTTTTCTTATACATAAAAATGTATTATACTTATTTTAACTTAGGCAGACAAACTACACAGTTTAATGGCTTTTATTTTTTATTTAAAATATCATGAAATACTAATACCGCAGAGTTTCAAATTAATATTTTATTAGAATGCCAAAGAATTATGAGTAAGATATGAACATTTTGAGATTAGAGGACTAAAATATGCATGGTCTTTCTTGAAGAATACTTAATCAGGGTTTTGGTAAAAAAAAAACTTTTAAATGGTAAAGCTCCGGGGAAATTATCAAGACCAAATAGGAACGTTGTTAAGTATAATTATTACAAAAATCGATTTATCTCTGTTATTTTCACGTATGATTAAAAATTATAATAATAACACTATAACAGTAATTTATTGATCACTAATTAGAATGTACAACGTATATATTATTGAAAGTGAATCCATTATTAGTTTTGTGAGATTTTTAAATTTATGCATATTAAAATTAAAATAATAATTGTTTTATGTAAATAACATTATTACGTTATTTGTACCACAATGTTTACACAATTAACTTATACCGCCTACGCCCTACTTCAACTAACCACCCACTCTTAATTACTAATGTCTTATTTGATTGCACCAATAATTACTTACAACAATAAAAACATGTTTACATTTGAAGCTGATTTTCGAAAGCTAAATCTGTTGTAGTTGGCACTTGGCTTACGTATTGATATTATATAGGGTTTAGTATAATGTCATATAATACATTACTAGGTACTTGAAAGTGTTTGTATTTAGATAAACCTGTTGGTAGTGACGGATGTCTCCAAATTCAATTATCCTTCCCTTAAACATTTCTACCCTTGTATACATTTAGTTGTAGAGCAAAGATTATTGTTTTAAGTTATATTTGATTTATAAATGTAGGGTTTTAGATAAACTCGGTTAACTGGAAGAACATTCGAAGCACGACGAACGAGGAACGCCTCTCTTTTGTTTCATAGTTATATATACACTGGTGGCGAGTGAATAATTACTTGGCAACATTACGGTCCATGAATAAAATACAGGATAAATACAAGCTATTATTCCAAACAAGTTAGAGATTATGACCATTTTAAAATAGGTTTTAAACCTTTGGAATTTAATTTAATTATTGATTTTTGTTATTAAAATTATCTTGTAATTATTCTGTATAGAAATGGTTATTATTTAAATAAGAGCGTAGTAGTTCTTAATTATATTATTACCTTAGTATTCGGTTGGCAATGGTGGGCAAGTTAATGAAAATAATTAAGTGTGGAAAGTTAAGTTAATTCAATAAAATTACCTTCAGTTAAGTTAAAAGTTAACAAAGAAAAAAATTTAACTAGATAAGTTTATAGTTAAGATAGAAAATAAAATTAACTTATCTCAGTTAAAAAAAAAGTTGTAAAACATTAGATTATTATAATACATAATTCAAAAATAAATTACCAAAATCGTAAATAATTCGACGAATCAGTATTGCCTAGTTGATTACGCATGACTCAAAAATTAAATTAACTGCTGAAATTAACTATAAAAAGTTAAGTTACAACAATAACAATTTTAACTGAATAAGTTAATAAGTTAAAAACAAAAATAATTAACTAGTTAAGTTAAAAAGTTAAAAAAACATTAACTTTTTAATAAGTTAATGCCCACCCTTGTTGGTTGGTTAGTGAATTTTTATTCAAACGCTTTTATTTCACACTGTTTAGTTTAATTATTATACAACATAATAATTAGCATTACGAGACGACGCTTTTATAGGTTGTATAATTATAAAATATATAAATCTATACTATGTTATTGTGTTGGTTATTTTAGGTTGTAGGGCTGGTATGTTCTTAGTTTAGAATGGTAAGCAAAATGGATTAAAATTAAAAACAAAATATATTAACTCAATTATTTAACGTTAAAATAACAGTGTTGTTTGTTGATGTTCTGAAATTGTGTTACTGTCTATTTTTGCGCCTCTTGTTCGACGAAAACTAACATATTTTTTAAAAATATTTTGACATTTTCTGTTTGAAAGTATTTTATGTTCTCGATATTTAACAGAGGTTTTGCAACAGTTCAATGTCAAAAATCCATACATTTTTATTCTTAATATGTAACATTTAATCACTATAACACTCTGTGATTGCGTATATCCTTTTAAAATTCAGATTCACACGTAAATAAAATACCGGGATTTTATTTTCTGAGTTGAATTTAGTTAATATTTAGTCGTACGAAATCGTATTAAAAATAAATAAAAAAACATTTTGAGTGTTATTATGTGCCCAAACAAATTTTTCGGGTATTTTTCATGCCATATATTGAACA